TTAGTGGGAAGTCTGCCAAACTGCAGCATCAGCAGATTCTCGAGGTAATATAAAAAAATCTTGGAACCTCAGAACAAGGGACACTATGAGGCCAACGATTTTGTCCCTTGTAGAGAGGTTGTCCCTATCTCGGTGGTCAAATAATACACTAAAGTATTAGCATGGGGTAGAAACAAGTGTCCTTTGTAGAGAGGTCGTCCCTATCTCGGAGGGTCCTTTATCGGAGGTTCCACTGTAAATCTTTGTAATAAAAAAACTTTCACCAATCACCCAAAGAGGCGAAAAATGGAGTTGTTGGGGCCATTCAGTGTGCAATAGTTTCCAATTACTTACAGGTCATGAACTCATACAATGACAAGTGAAATAATGAAAGTTTTTCTCTCCTGCAGGTGTCAAATATGTCATTTTTGGTTCTGCTGAACTTTTCACTAGTTCAATCTCTAAGAAATGCAACCAATTAACATTTACATATATATATATCATTTCCAATCACACATGATTGTTCATCATAGTCAAACCCTCGGCGCACCCAATCTTCCAGCCCTATGTCATGCGCGCAAGAAAGAGCTATATACTACATACTGTAATCGATGGGCTTGTGCACGCTAGTTCGGAGTTGTTCAACTGCAGTGAACCTTCTCACACCACTTCATTGCAGAGAAAATGAAAAGCACTAAAGTGCAAACCCTCGGCGGTAAACTAGCGAGTTGTAGCATCGCTGTATGCTGGGCCGTGCGTCATCGACAGAGCCAGTAACACAGGGTAGTTGCATTAGCGGTTAGAGCAATAGCTCAGGTGTTTCAGAGGCTCTCATATTTGCTTTATTCAATCTATCTGCTCTTCTGTGTTTCAATGCTCTCGCCAGACGTTTTATAGATGGGAAGGCAAGGCCGCAACCACAAACTGCTCGCCACCTGAACTATTGCGAACATACCTTGCTCAGCATGTTTATCGTTTATCCATAGGGAACAGAGATCAAAACTGCCATATATATACAACCAAGCGCATGCTCCGGCGATTAATTGACATTACGCGTGCGCGCTATATAGCGCCTGCAGGAGAGGGCGCGTGCGCGATCGACCGCGCGCGTTGGCTTTATCGCTTCTTTTCACGCCATATCTCTGCAACGCAGTCGTTTCGGGAAAATCGCCACATTAATTGGCGAGCGGGAGCGAGCTAACCTAGTGGTACGAACGGCGCGGAATTTTCTCTATGCCCTGTTCCGGCGGCCGCCGCGCGCCGCCTCAGTGCTTGCAGCCGTCACACAGTCCACGTGAGCAACCGGGGGATTTAGCGTCAACGTACGCTCGCTGTAGTATTAGGAAGCTATACCAGGTGCAAGCACATGCAGCGGAGACTATTGAACGTTGGACTGGGACCTTCCCGAAAGCCGTAACGTAACCGGTTGCCGGCAAATCACACCGGGACTGATCGACGCGGACTGCCGTTATAAAGCCCAACTCAACGAGGTCGACGTCGTACCAACAGACAGAGAATCATGAATAATTTAGTGAAAGTAACAGTAATAGTGGCATTGTCTGCTCAATTTTACTTATCATATCAGTCAGGTTCAAATCATAATTTTTTGCTTCTGACAATTACTGCCAGTTTTCTCTTCAGATTGTGTGCAGTCAAAGCATGGAATTGAGCTCTCATCCAGCCTAGATGACAGCAATAGGACAGCAGCTTGTCCTGGAGAGGCAGTGGTATACACCTGCACCGTAGCCAACACAGGAGTACTACAGTGGGCTGTAGAGTCTTTTCACAGGCTTGAAGAAAACTCTATCCTATTAAGTGTTCAGTATGACCCGGTGGGAACTTTAGTGCAAGAGCAAGGCGGATTGTTAGCTGCAAATATAACAGACATCACTCAAAGCACAGCTGGGTACTGGGGAAATATAACCTCCACGCTTACAATCGTGGCTAATAAGAACTACTTCGAAAATAGAAGAGTATGGTGTGGTAACGGATTTGAACTTGAAACAGAGTCACCTTGCATCTTTCATAGATATGGAGGTTAAACACACACACACACCCACACCTCTCTTACACTCACTCTCTCTGTCTGTCTGTCTGCCTGTCTGCCTGCCTTTCTTTCTTTCTTTCTTTCTTTCTGTCTGTCTGTCTGTCTGTCTCTTGTCTTTGCATATTGTTAATGTGAGTATAATGGACTATATATATCTCTGGTAGTTATAGTCCATTTTGCAACCTTCTATAATCGTATAACACCTAAATTCTTCAATTTTTACGATCTAGTTCCTCCATCGTCACCAGTGTACCCGGTCTACACTGTCACATCATATGAAGTTTCCAGTTTCTCTGTCCTGCTTAAGTGGAGTAAACCACAAAGTGATGGTGGCCTGGGAATACTGAATTACACAACCACACTCAAGGCACCTCAGTCCCATTACATATATTATGTTGAAATGGGAGAGGAGTTGCGTTTAAACCTTCTATATATGCAATTGCATAGTTTGCAAATTGTTGCCACAAACTGTGCAGGAAAGAGCCCAGCTATCAACATAAGTATTTTAGAAGGTAAGTACATTTTGCTGTTTACGATAACTCAGAGTAATAGCATAGGGAAAACATCTGGACACGGGGTGAAGGCGTAGCTATGACGCCTAGTTTTGCAGGTTTTTTAAAAGACAACATCAATGTTTGTCTGCATGACAGACTGGCTGTCCACTTAACTCCGCATGTACGAAAATCGTGTAGCTCGTGCTTTATTGCATTCATCTACATGTTCTCTCGTAACTCTTTCAGTAAGCTGTGGTCCGCTGGATGTCTCAGGTACATCAACTAATAACGGGGAGAATCGTGTTTCAACACAAAAGGGAAGCCGACTTCAGTACAAATGCATAGATAATGCAGAAGTAATTGTTTTTGAGTGCCTTAGCAATGGCAGCTGGACACCTGACCCAAGGGTGATCAAATGCTCTAATATAAGCTCATTTGCAAAGTATGTAAGTTCAGGTGGTGATTTTTATACTTTCATACTTTTATGTACACACAGTGATATAATACATTGCAAGGCCCCAGTTTTACCTCAGAACTCTCACATTGATGAAGAAAGAAGTATAATGGGATTAATGATGGTTTATCAGTGCAACATTGGATACAAACCAACAGAAAGAACGGTTTCTAAGTGTTTGGCAACAGGGGAGTGGGCACACAACATTAGTGATCTGCAATGTATTAAACAAGGTTAGTGCTATCATGTGACCTTCAGCCAATCAGATGTTTTCATTCACATGCACACTGTTTTATCATTCACCTCATTCTAATCTAATTTAAGATCATTATACTTTAGTTGATTGTGGAGCTCTAATGGGTCTAAGCAATGGTTTTGTGGACTATGCTGAAACTATGGAGGGGTCTGTGGCTATCCTTCAGTGTGACAAAGGCCTGGCCCTGTTAAGGGATGATTTGTATGTCATAAAGTGCAATAATAATGGTACTTGGATGCCTAATATTTTTGGTCAACGGTGTGTTGACCCACTGTTAAAAACAGGTTAGCTTGTTATAAGCTCAAACATACACTTTAATGCACTTTATTGTTTAGGGGAGTCTTGTGCAGGTCAGAGTGGAAATTTTTACTTAATTGTTGGAGGAACCGCATTGTTAACTTCAATTCCTTTTGGAATACTTGTTGGTTGGTTGTTATCAAAATGCCGTAAAAGAAAACAGAAAAATTGCCAACATTCCTATGAGGAGGTCACACCAAAGAGACAACAAGAAACTATAGATATTGTACAAAATGAAGCTTATATGAAATATCAGCACAACATTTAAATACTATGTACTAGTAGAATGTTGAACATTGTTGGCGAGGGGGAGCGACCCAACTTGGGATTTGCCCGCGATGTTCGGCTGCATAACGTGCCGTCTGCGCACAGTTTTCCTTTCGTAAAGCAAGACAGATCTAGAGCTAGCTATATACCTTTCGCCGCTACATGCATACTGTATATATAATATATTACAAGTGGAAAAATCATTTCTTCAAAATGAAGGGGGATATAGGGATGGCTTGAAGCACCAAAAAGGAAGAAACAAGGGGTCATTACACAGCAAAGATGCACAAAGCTACATGACACCATCCCTATATCTTTGTTCGATATTAAACTTTGCTTATAAACAATAAAACAAAGATATAGGGATGGTGTCATGTAGCTTTGTGCATCTTTGCCGCTGCTTCGGGGACAAGTCAAGATGTATGCAGCATCTGCTGCCAGAAAATTGGCCCGAAGGATGAGTCTCCCTAGATATAAATGAATGCACAATTGGAGAGAACAGATGTCACGATAATGCCGTGTGTTCTAACTTGGCGGGCAGCTACGACTGTACCTGCGAAACTGGATTTACTGGAAATGGATTCTCTTGTGTTGGTGAGCTAACTTAGTCACAAACCAAAATAGTTGGGTTTGCCATTGTTCTTATGCTTCAGCCCTTACCTAATGAATGAGCTTGTGGCGAC